CCTAATTTACAGGTTTTTGTTTTTGTTTTTTTTTCAAGACAGGGTTTCTCTGTGTAGCTTGTTTTGAATCTGTCCTGGAACTCACTCTGTAGACCAGATTGGCCTTAATTAAACTCACAGAGATCTGTCCGCCTCTGCTGGATTTCTGGTTTTGAGTAATATGTTTATTAAGCAATAAGTAGTGAATGAGAGAGAAATTAATTTGGCTACACAGAAACTTGACTCAAGAAGCCTTTGTAAGGCAAACAGAGTTTCCCAACAGAGCAGTGCTGGGCAGAACAGAATGTCCCCTCAGGAGAGGCTTCCAATTAAAAGGACAAATAAGGTCGGAGATAAAGTAAATCAGGATCTGATGCAGTCACAGTTGAACTGCCTGTCCCTGAGCTTTTGGGGGGTGGAGAGTCCCCTGGCAGAGCGAGCGTCTAGCCTATTCCCACTGCAGGAACTAGTAACATCTATTGGATGTTGCTATGTTTTGATACAATTCTCAAGGGCACAGTGGTTTTTCATTTTTTTAAACTCTTGAACTTTCTTTGCTATTCTCTTTCTTCCCTGTCACAGTGAACAGAGCCAGCCCATCCCCAGACCTTGGAGGACACTTTGAGACAGACATGGATCTTAAAATGGAAGGCGTCAACCCCACTTCCAGAGCCAGCTTCTCCACACATGACAATTTGTAACTATAATCTACAGTACATCCCTCCACCAGTGTCTTCCATCTCCAAATCTTGCTTCCTCTCTCTAGGGCCTGACTTTTACCTCAGGAATCCACTCTCTCCCTCAGGCTCCATCTTCTCAGGTAGACCCCACTCACTCACTGAGGGCCCCCTCCTGCTGCTGTCAAGACCAGCGGCCTCCCCAGGGCTTGCTTCCTCCAAAGGCCCTGGTCCCCCTTTCCTCAGGGAAAAACCGGTTTTTCCCACCAGGCCCCAGACTGTGACACAATGTGGGGTTTCTGAGGCCTGCTTTCATTACACACCTCTGTGCGAGGCAGGTGTGGCAGACCTGAGCTGAAGGAACAGAGCAGTCCCATAGGATGTGGCCTGCGCCTGTCCAGAATCACTCAGCCTGGCATGTGGACTGGTGCCTGAGGTAGCTCTCCTTCCGGCCATCAGCCTGGCATGTGGGCTGGTGCCTGAGGTAGCTCTCCTTCCGGCCATCAGCCTGGCATGTGGGCTGGTGCCTGAGGTAGCTCTCCTTCCGGCCATCAGCCTGGCATGTGGGCTGGTGCCTGAGGTAGCTCTCCTTCCGGCCATCAGCCTGGCATGTGGGCTGGTGCCTGAGGTAACTCTCCTTCCGGCCATCAGCCTGGCATGTGGGCTGGTGCCTGACGAAGGTCTCCTTCCAGCCATCGCTTACAGTTTTGCCTGCTGTGGTGAGCTTATGGGTCTGCTCCCTGCTGTGTCCCAGTCTGTCCTCCCTCACCTTGAAAGAAACATTAAATATTTTTAAAAACCTGTAAAGCTTATTATGAAAAGCAATTTAAATCTCCCCCAGCTTATAAGACTTATGAAATTTTAAATCTCTACTTATAAGGTTCCTTAAAAAAAAATCTTTTAATTTTTCCCACCTGGTTAATCCCCTGCCCCCAGACCTGGTAAACCTTTTGTTTCTACAAAGGCCCTTCTCGCTACATTCCTGTAGCTGAATGACTGACCCTTTCCTTCAGTTCCTTTGCACTGATTAAAAACCAAAACTAAACTAAACCAACAATGACAATAGCAAACTAGCTAACCTGAGGAGGGCAGTGCGGACAGACCGAGTCAATGGGGAAAAGACATGATACTCTTTGATTAATGTAAAAATCTAAGGATTTCGTGCCCTGTGAGCTTGCTCTTCTGCTCTTAGTGGCGTGGTCTTCTGACCAGACGTGAAGATTTACCTAGTCGGAGGGCTTTAACCGGAGTGATGGTCTCTTTCTCTTTGAGATTCTGAACTTATTTCTAACAATACTACCAAGCTGACTTGCCCTGGGGCAGCTGGAGCAGCTATGTCAGATCAATGTCCATGGATGTTGGCTCTCATCTTTTCTGACCCCTTGCGAATCTGATGGCATTGATAGACACATCAGAAGACTCCTGAAGTTGGGGGCAGGGGTCAATAAGGCCTGGGACCCTGGTTGACACCGATACTGTGCATTAGAGAGAGGTTCCGGCTCAGGCCTCAGCTTGTTCCAGAGGTGGTGAGGTCTTTGCTTTGCCCAGTGTCTGCCAAACGGTTTACCCGGAGCACCAACCTCACAAGGATGGCTTAAGTGCACCTTTAATTCTATGGGGTGGAGCCCCTCATTTGGGGCCATGTCTAGACATTCCATCACCCTTGTTTTTAAGAGTTCTGGATTTAGGCGATGTCTTCTATTGGCTTCCAGGATCCATGGTGCCCTTTCAGCGTTCAACATGCCAATTTGGGCTCTGGTTCTCTCATTGAACCTGTCCCTCAGATGCTGGTACATGTCCACAAAAAGAGCCATTTGCAGTGTGTATGGTTCTTAGAGATATCCATGATGGTTAGCTGATTCTTGGGGACTGGGCATAGGAAGGGTGAGAACCAGGGCTGAGCCTCCAAGTTCTCACTTAGAGCCCATCCTTATGTACCCTTTAACTGTTGGCTCCCAAGCCATGGCTGGAAAAAGGAGCCTTTTGAGCATTTCCTCAGAGTCCGGCCTGGCTCTAAGTGTTCCACACATATCAATTCAACAACCTCTTTTCCTACTGATTGAAACTCATCCTCTGAGAGAGGACTGGGTGTGGTGGTGTATACCTTTAATCCCAACACTTGGGAGGCAGAGGCAGGCAGTTCACTGTGAGTTGGAGGCCAGCCTGGTCTACACAGGAAGTGGCAGGACAACCAGACCTACACAGTGAGACTGTGCTCAAAAAGCAAGCAAACAAGCAAGCTCACAGACAGGGTGCTTTTTCCAGAGTGGGGATCAGAGATCCTAGTGTGGAGCTAGCAAGGCCCTTGAAGTTAGCACCAGCACTGCCGCCTCAGATCTGGCCTCTTGGGACAGATCAGGATGACCTGGGTCCTTCCCAAGGCAGGCCTTAGAGAAGATGCAAAGTCACTGAGGAGTCAGGAGAGTTTGTGTTCACTAGGGGAAAGGAGTAAGATGTGGTTTGATGCCCTGGGTGATGGTGCACGCCTTTGACGCACGTCAGCACTTGGGAGGCAGAAGCAGGTGTGTCTCTAGGAGTTTGAGGATAGCCTGGTCACTCCCCCTGAGAAGTGACTGGTGTGCAAGCATTAGGCCACACAGGCCACAGCTCTGCTCTAAGTTCATCCTGTCTGCTCCTTTCCCCTCTGAGCTACATGAGCGAGCACATATAAAGGTATTGGCACTGGTCTGGTTAACTGTAAGCAAGCATTTACTTTATTCATTTACACCATGGTGCTGGGCTCATTCCTTTATCCTTGCCCCTGAAAGGAGTGGAACCCAAATCTTACTGGGTCACAGCATATCTGACACAGTAACCTAGATGGACTCTTTCCCTTCCTGATACTGCCCTGTCCCTATAGGCCTTATTAGGGACTCAGATTGCATGTATGTGGTAAAACTATTGGCCCTGACCAATGTGGGATTCAAGCCTCCAAGGATGACTGTGATCAGACAGAGGCTGGGTTATGGTCTGGCAGGAGGCATGACTAAAATGTCACCTCTCCAGTGAGGCCTGGCTCCATTCTCCCGATGACATTTCTTCTATACCAAAGACGGTAAGTTTTGTTTTTTTTAGCAGTAAAAAGTTTTCGCATTTCCTCTCTGTTGTCTTGTCTGGCTGTGGAGAGCTTCCTGCAGGGTTCTTCACAGGGCCTCACTGGTGGCCTGCTTCCCTATCTGTACCATGGCCACCTCTGCATTCTGCCTGTGACTTCAGTGGCCCTATTCTCAGAGGCCTCCTGGGTCACCTGGTGTGATGGTTAAAGTTGTCAACTTGACAAAATTTAGAATGACAAGAGAGAAGGGCCCCTGGGCATGCCGGTGGGGAGCTAGCTTATGTTAACTGAGGTGGAAAGACACATGTTAATTGTGGGAAGACCCATTCCATGGGCAGGGGATCCTGAACTGTATAAAGTGGAGAAAGTAGCGGAGTCTTGGCGGTGCACTGCTCTCCTCTTTCTCCTCCTCCTCCTCTTCCTCCTTCTTCCTTCTTTCTCCGTCTCTATTTTTCTTCCAATAAATTTTTTATTTAAATTAAAAACAAGCTTGCTTCACATGTCAATCCCAGCTCTCTCTCCTATCCCTTCTCCCTTATCCTTCCACCCTCCCTCAACCCCCCCACCCCATCCCCACACCATTCCCCAGGGAGGGTGACGCCCTCCATGGGGGATCTCTAGAGTCTGTCACTTCATCTGGGGCAGGGCCTAGGCCCTCCCCCATGTGCCCAGGCTGAGAGAGCATCCCTCCTTGTGGAATGGGCTCCCAAAGTTTATTCATACGTCATGGTAAACACTGATCTACTATCCAAGGCCCCAGAGATTCCTGAGGCCTCCTCACTGACACTACATTCAGGGAGTCTGGATCAGTCCCATACTGGCCTCTCAGTCATCAATCTGGGGTCCAAGAGCTCCCCCTTGTCAGGTCAGCTGTCTCTGTAGGTTTCATCAGCACAGTCTTTCCGTCTCTGATTTTTCAAGCCAGGGTTTCTCTATGTAGCCCTGGCTGACTTGAGACTCGCTGTGTAGACCAGGTTGACCTTGAACTCAGAGATCCACCTCCATCGCCTCCCAAGCACCAGGATTAAAGGCATTCGCCACCATCACCTGCCATTGAATGCTCTCTGCACAATGTGACCAGCTCCCTCACTCAGCCCTCCTTCATTGTAACTTCCCTACATCAAAGAACTGCAACTTGAACTGAGCCAGAATAAAACTCTTCTCCAATTGCTTTTGTCAGATTAGTTTATCACAGCAACAGGAAAAGAAACTAAGACACTTGGAGCGGGGGCAGTGCTAGCAGGCAGTGCTAGTTGACTCACTGTCTCTGTCCCAGTGATGGGTTCAGATTAACAGGTGTTGGAACTCACTTTATTGATACCCAAGTCACAGCTGCCCACTAGAAAACTCCAGAGCATCTAGAGTCTCTTCAGCAAGCAGCAACTTCATGTCCCTTGATGGGGACAAAGACCATGCTGTTGACTTGTGTGGCTGGCTAAGTCAGGGAAAGGGACAGGTGGCTGATGGCTTCCTCAGGTAATGCATCACTCTAACTTCCCCGATAGGTGGTGTAGGACCATGGGCTCAGCAGCAGAGGTACATGGAACTTCTGGGTCTCCTTCGCAATAGTGAAAACAACCTATGAGAAGCAGAGAAGGCACTTGAGGACACTGAAGATGGCAAGTTCTTCCTGCAACAGTCCCTGGGTCTTCCAGATAGTGTGTGTGTGTGTGTGTGTGTGTGTGCTTTGGTGGCTTCCTAGAAGTGGGAGACACTTGGGAAAGCCTGATGTTACAGTTTGAATATTGTTTCCAAGAGGAGATACAGTGGTCTTGGCTGTTGGTTGGTGGTATTTGGGGAAGTGATTTGATTCTGAGGGCTCTGATCTAATTAGCTGGTTAATCTGTGGTTAACGAGACTCATCATGTGATGACATCATTAGTAGGTACTGAAACTTGGAGGTGGGCCCCACTAGAGGAAGGTCCCTGGGTAGTGTCCTAGGGATCTGTGTCTTTCTTTGTCTTCCTTTCTGCGTCTTGTCTACCACGTGTGAGGTGACAGCTCTCCCCTTCCGTATTCCCCCACTGCCATGGCGAGTGCATGGAGCCAAACAACCACGGGCTGAAACAACGAGCCCGAACAAATATTTTACCCCTAAGTTGTGTCAGTGCTGCAGAAGAAACACACCCAGTGCTCTGGTGTCTGGGCTTAAATGGAAACCTTCTACAAAGGAAGATGAAACACTGGCAGCCTGGCCTCTCCCTCTCACCCGCCTGACCAGGGGCAGCTCAGTGTGTCATCAGGAAGTATAATGGTGCCTCAGGGCCCTGGACACCTTCTGAGAGCACAAAGGAGGGTGGAGTTCACTCACTTGCTACCACCCTGGGAGAGGTGGGGCCAGTCTGTCCCTGGCCTGGAGGAGGCCTGGCTGAAGGGCTTGGTTGTGGTCACAGTGAGTCAGGGCCCAGCTGCTCCACCCACCCACGGCCCTCACCTCTACATATGGGTAAAAGCTCTCCTGACCCCTCTCCTTCCAGTAGCGCTCTGTGTCGAAGGACAGCTTATAGGTGCCTGGCTTTATCTGGCCTGGTGTCAGGAGCCCAGGACAGCGACCATCCAGGTTTGTGTAACTGTGAAGAGACAAAGTGGAGAGAGAGCTGAGAAACCTCCCTCCCCTAGCTTTCCTGATCCACACGCCGACAACCTCAGACGAGTCCCACAGTCTCACACAGGAGTTCAGATGGGGGACAACTTCTGAGGATATCACCACACTGTCCATTTAGAAAATCGTAGAGAAAAGATAAGCCTCTCCAGTTTTTGTGAAGGACTGAACTAGGAGGGGAGGAGCCACAACTTGTTCCCACAGGCAGGTCAGGAGGGAGGAGATGGGTGAGCCTGCCTCCTTTAAAAGGAACCTGCTCTCAAGGCCACGACTCTGCTAGCTTTGGTTGGCGAACCCTGAAACAGGAAGACCCAGCCCCTGGCAGAGCATGTTCCAGGGGTATGGCCAGGGCCGGGCCTGAGCCTGGCTCACTGAGGTTGAAAGGCCATTACTGGACCAGTCTTAGCTTTTATCCTACCCTATTATCTCAGTCTCCCTTCTGTAAAAGGGGTTAATTACAGTACTGGCTCACAGCTATTGAGAATAGAGAAGAGAAACAGTGTTCCGCATTCAGTCTGGCACAGGTGATAGAGCCCTTTGTTTTCCACCAGTCCTTTCTAGTTGGCTCCTCTCCCAACAGGCCACTGGGCTGAATCCGACAGGCAGGGACCTTACAAAGCTGTCTCAGGCATTCCATGACTCTGTCCCAGGTATGCATATCTGGTGAAAAAGTTACTGCCACTATCCCTGTTATCTTAGATGAGGAAAAGGAGGCTCAGGGGTCAGTAGCAGTGGTCAGGCCTGCCTACAGCTCCCAGTGCCCACGCCAGGCTCAGTCCCGCTCAGTGTCCCCCCAGTCACTGTTCCATCTCAATACCACGGCCTAAGGTCTTCCTCAAGGGGGACCCAGGAAAGACACAGCAGCTAGAGCTGGTAACTCACAGATCCCAGGCCAGAAACTGCCCCCTACCTTGTCCTCAGCTCCATCCACTGCTGGCCAGGGCTCTCCAGACGAGACAAACGGAGGCAGAGGCCTTGGGCAGGGAGTCCTGAGGCGGTATCTAGTACATGAGTAGTCAGTGGACTGCTCTCCATGGCTATGTCACCAGCCTGAGCAGAGAGAATCATGTGATCACCGTGGGGCCTGTACGTACAGGCCCAGCTGGGTCTTTGATTGACTTGTGAGAAAAGCAAACAGCCCTACTGCCCAGGGGCAGGCTGAATTGCTGAGTTGCAGGATGAGATGCCAAGTGCTAAACAAATCTGACCTGTGCCCTCCATTGCCCCTACCCAGGCACCACCCTCTGTCTCCTTTGTACGGGTCCTTCAGTTCCAGCTGGTCAGTGCCTTAGCTTTCCAGAACCCAGCTCTCCTGAACCTCTGGCTCATTGTTTCCCCCCACCCCCAACTTCCCATACCTGGTTTCCTCCCTGTCTCCTTACACATGAGATGGGCATTCTGAGGGTACAGGTCAACTCCTTACCTTCGGCCAGCCCAGGTGTCTCTGGAGTGTCATCAGCCTCGGGGCGGTCCTGGAGCTCATGTCCTGCCTCAGAGCTCCAGTCTGTGCAACACCCACAGGCAGTCACCCTGCCAGCTTCAACAAGCTCCTCTCTCTGGTCAGCCAGAACCTGCCGGACCCAAGGGCCCATCCCAGCTCCTCAGGCCACCTATTTGAACACTTCTGGGGAAGCCGCCTTCCCTGTGGCCGCCACCCCGGTGTTAGGTGCTAGGGCCTGAGGGGTGGTGACTTAGGGAAAAGTGTGGTGATTGGGAAGTCTGTGATTGGGAAGGAGGGTTGCTGGGGGAGGATTGGTTCTGAGAGAGGCGGGGTTAGTGGGCCTAAAGCCATGATTGGCAGGGAAATTGGTTGGGTGACGAGGGCAGGGCAAAATAGCTCAGGGGTTAAAGCATTGAGGACGCGAGTTCAATTCCTGGAACCCATGTAAAAAGTGAAAGTTGAGAACAGACTCCACGAAGGTCCTTTGACTTTCACACGCATGCTGACCCCCCTCATACACACAATGCTAAAGCAATGTTTTCAAAAGATCGAGGCATTAGTTGGTCAAGGTCTCCAGCCTCCCTGCTAACATTTTGATAAGACCACACTGAAGAGGACAGGAAAGATGCCCGGTCCTGACTGCTGACAGGTCACGTGACCTTGCTTTGGTTTCCTCATGGATACAGTGGAGCAGTAAGCCCTCCCAGTATAGTTGAGACACCAAGCAAAGCTCCCCCACTCCGCAAGGCCCTCTGACCATTCCACCCTTTGGTGCAGATCGGTGAGAGGACAGGGCTCTGCAGTGGGCAGCTATGCGACTTCACCTTAGCTCCTCTGTGTTAGGGTTTTATAGTGTATACAGAGAAGACAGTCGGAAGGCATCACGTGACCTGTAAAAACCAAGGGGGGGGGCTGGTGCGATAACCTCGCAGGTAGAGGGTTTTGCTGGCAGGCCTGATGACTGGAGTTTGAGCCTAGGATCCTACAAGACGGCAGGAACGCCTGACTCCCCAGAGTTGTTGTCCTGTCTCCCCATTGCCCTTGCTGTCCAGAAGCTGAGAAACCCTCCTTGGAATAATCCTTACAAGAATGCATAGACAGTTGGAAGTGGTGGCCACTGCCCAGGATGAAAATTTATGGATGAGGACCCTTACCTTTTGTGTTCCTGGAACTTTTTATTTTTACTTTTTGATTGAACAGTCTTTATTTATTATGTGTACAGTGTTCTGCTGCATGTATGGTTGCAGGACAGAAGAGGGCACCAGAATTAGCTACAGATGGTCTTGAGCCACCATGCGGTTTCTGGGAATTGAACTCAGGACCTTTGGAGGAGCAGGCAATGCTCTTAACCCCTGAGCCATTTCTCCATCCCCTCCTGGCACTTTTTCTTTCCTTTTAGATTCATTTATTATTTTATGTGTAGGTGTGTTTTGCCTGCATATTATGTCTCCTTCACAGGTTCAAGTTTAAAAAGACTTGATTTAGCAAACTATGTCATTACAAAAGTTTTCGTCTGTAATCCTATGTGTTATTATCTGCCATTCAGAGATCATGGTGGCTTCTAGACCAGGTTTGTAACTGTTATCCCAATCTGCAAGTGAAAGGATTTAATACCACATGTTTGCAGTGCCAGCAAAAGCCAGAGGGGGGCGATTGATCCTCTGGATCTGGAGTTAGACTGCTGCTAGCTGCTATGTGGGTGCTGCAAACCAAACCTAGGTTCTCTGGAAGAGCAACCACTGCTTTTAAGCCCCCAGCCACTTCTCCAGACCACTTTTGCAACATGGACTCAGATCACTTCTTGTAAAGTCTCAAGTGTAATAAACTGACAATCAGCAGCTGAGCCGTTTTGAAAGTTCTCTTTAAGCCTTCCTGAAGAAGCCTGATGCTGTCTGCTTGGAGGCAGGACCAGGTGGTGTAGGATGAGGGTATGGATGGGTTGTCAGGGTTCCGCTGCTGTGCTGGGCCTCCTGTTGCCTTCCTCTTTCAACAGGGCCATATCTACTCCAACAAAGCCACACCTCCTAATAGTACCACTCCCTATGAGCTTATGGGGGCCAATTACCTTCAAATTACCACATTGTACAAGTTTCCACAGTTTGCCCTAAAACAGTATATGCTTATCTCTATTTCAGGAGGTCTGGAGTAAAGGTTTGGCTAGACCTGTTTCAGGGTCTCACAAAGACACATTCTTGCAAGGAGGGCAGGCAAGCAAGCAGCATTTTACACAGGCCTGTGTGGCATCCGGTTGTTCAGGGCAAAGAACAACTGTTTTAGCTATTTCTCCAGGTCATTCTGTTCCAGGCAGTCCGTGAAGTCATGCTTGGCAAATAGGCAATATAAATAGTACCTTAAGTAAATCAGTAAATACATCAATAAATCAATATCTAATAATTGGGCTTTTCTACTTTATTCTCCTTCGCAGTCTGATTGCAGGATTCATTTCCTTGTGGGTGGAGGATGGAAGCCTGAGGATGCCAAGCATCTTGGAGCTGCTGCTTGACAAAGATCACAGAGCTCAGACGGCTTGGATTTGACCCTTCACTGCCCATGCAGGAAGTTGCTGCACAACTCCTTGCTGTTAAGGGTATTGGAATAATGTAACAATTCTTGTGAAAGCTGGGAGAATTAGCTATTATAGGAACTTGAGTTTTCTATAGAAATTATTACTTAAGTGGCACTAATGAGCATGAGATGCAGGATCCAGAATAAATCATTTAAGAAGAAAAACTTGGGTAAATTTTGGAAGCCGACATACCATGGCTGAATCATCAGGTTTTTTTTTTGTGTGTGTTTTGCCTCAGAAACATGGAACTAGTATGAACCAGGAAATGATTCTTGATCACAAAGTTAATGACAAAGTACCCTCCTGAAGGCAAAGTAAAAAGTTTTAGGAATCTTGATGTTCTTTTACTCTTTGTAGAATTGTAGTAACAATAAAGACCATATTGAAACAAGAGTTTATGACAGAGACACGAAAGAAATATCTTGACTTAGCGAGCTACCTGGTTTCCTGAGCAGACTGTCAGATCAGGGTCTCTCTGGTTGCAGAAAGAAAAAGAGCAGAACACTGTTGCATGCATGGGAGACTTTTAATGGTTGTACAATTTGGGGATATTGGATTGACGGAAAATTTCTTATGACTCATTTATGCCTTCTCCCAGGTATGCTATTCTTAAGCTTCCCCAAGACAGTCCTGAACATACTATCTCCCCTACTTTAGGGAGATATCCTTATCTACTTAAAGGTCTTCCTTACGCCTTGGAAGTTGTGACAAAAAGAAGCCAGAGGTCTCTTTATGAGTCACTGAGACACTCTTGAAACATCTGCCCCTGTACTTACAAGGGAAAAATATACCCAAAAAAAAGTAAACTCAAAAAAGTCAACAAGATTTGGTGGGCTAGAGGAGCTGGTCACAGTTCAGATTGCAAGCCTCTGCCCACTATACACTCAGACAGTGATGTGGCATATATAGCAACAACGTTAGATTAGCTGAAGCTGCCTCTGTGCTGTGCAGAGACTTATATCGATGAACAAAGAATGGAGTGGAAAGATGGTAAAAGATGTCAGGATCTCCCTCTCTGAGAAAAGTTAGCACATGCAGAGTCATTGTGGCGTCATAAGACCAAGGAACAACTGAATGCCAGGATTAGACATATAGACAAGTTCTATAAAGATATAAAATATAAACATTGTGTTATGCCAGAATGTGAATAATAACTGCAGCTTTGGCCTGAGGATATTTATTGGGCACTCTGACCAAGAAATTTTCCCTCAAAACTTGAGGGAAGCCAGGCGCAAGCCTTTAATCCCAGCACTTGGGAGGCAGAGGCAGGTGGATCTCTGTGAGTTCGAGGCCAGCCTGGTCCACAAGAGCTAGTTCCAGGACAGCCTCTAAAGCCACAGAGAAACCTTGTCTGGAAAAACCAAAACCAACCAACCAACCAAACAAACAAAAAAACAAAACAAAACAAAAACCCCCAAAACTTGAGGGAAAATGATTATAAAAGATAACTCTGGCCGGGTGGTGGTGGCGCACGCCTTTAATCCCAGCACTCGGGAGGCAGAGGCAGGCGGATCTCTGTGCGTTCGAGGCCGTGCTGGACTGATAGCCTCCGAAACAATACAGAGAAACCCTGTCTCGTAAAAAAAAAAAAAAAAAAAAGATAACTCTGTTCTGTAATGGCTTATCAGTGATGACTAAAAGATGTGTAAGAGGAAATGATTTCATGTACAAATAAAGCCTGTGAGAGACACAGGCTGTCAGAGTAGGACAAGCCATATTGAGATGTGCTTCCTCTCTGTCTGTCTCTCCTAAATGAAACTAGGAAGTGTCCTGTGGGATTCCTTCTGTCGCCACTCTTTTATCCACCCATATTTAGACCCTGCCTGCTCTCATCCAGAGCTGGACTCCAGCAGAGGCCTCTGTTTTCTGGTTGGCTGATGGCTAGAGATTGTCCTTGGGTACTGCCCATGGCCGCCTCCACAGTTTGTTGATGACATCATTGTTTGATTCTCCTGGCAGAAGAATCTGGCGTCAGTGGGATAAGACAATCTTATATAACATCACCATAGAAGTAACCTAACGCCATCGGTGCTGTATCATATTGGTTAGAAGCACACCAACTCTCAAGGCGGAGATTATGCAAGTGTTCGCCTCATTTGAGTCATCACTCTATCCATCCACTGCCCAGTTACACCCCCATTCACCATCCATCCCTCTACTTATGAGAGCAGGCAGGCAAACGATTAATATTGAAAATGGCCAATGTCAGGGCTCTACCCAGTACCCATGTTAATTTCCCAAAGAACCTTCTCATATTTTATTCTAGTAGCATTGCCACACATGGGAAACGTGACATAATCTCTAATACATCCCTAACGTCTTTTTAAGACAAGGTCTTGCCAGGCGGTGGTGCTGCACACTTTTAATCCTAGCGCTGGGGAGGCTGAGACAGGTGGGACTGTGAGTTCAATGCCAGGCTGGTCTATAAAGCTACACAGAGAAACCCTGTCTCAACCCCCCCTTTTTTTTTTACTTTTATAGATTCTTTTTGGATTCTACATCATGCATCCCGACCCCTCCATCTGCCCTCCACCCCTACAAACTCCCCCCAAAATAAAACAAAATTTAAAAGAAAACCTCAAAACCAAACAAAGCAAATAAAAAAATGAAACAAACCAAAAAAAAAAAAAAAAAGCTCCTCATGGAAGCTATAGTGCGGCCCATTGAGTCACAGTTAGCCCTATAGTTC